GGGATTACAGGCACGCGCCACCATGCCCAGCTAATTTTTTGTATTTTTAGTAGAGACGGGGTTTCACCATGTTGACCAGGATGGTCTTGATCTCTTGACCTCGTGATCCACCCGCCTCGGCCTCCCACAGTGCTGGGATTACAGGCTTGAGCCACCGCGCCCGGCCTAAAATTGTGTTTTCTAATGTGAGGGAGCTAATTATATAATCACTGCTATTTTACACTCTACTCATTCTGGAACTTGAAAGTCAAGATAATGTTTTAATAGATGTGACGGTAAATGAAGGCTCAAAATTTTGACTGCCACAGCATCAAGTTCTTGGCAGCCTTGGGGTTCTCTTAAGTGGGGACAGGGATATGCCTTCCTACCTTTACCCATTTCATAGATACTGTATCTAATGCTTACATTTAAATACCGTACTCTGGCTGTGTGTGGTGGATTAAGTCTGTAATCCCAGCACTTTGGGAAGCCAAGGCAAAAGGATCACTTGAGCCCAGGAGTTCAAGACCAGATTGGGCAACTTGGTGAGACCTGTGTCTCTACAAAAAAATTTTTTTTTAAGTAGCCAGGTGTGGGACGGGCGTGGTGGTTTATGTCTGTAATCCCGGCATTTTGGGAGGCAGGTAGATCATGAGGTTCAGGAGATTGAGACCATCCTGGCTAACACAGCGAAACCCCACCTCTACTAAAAATACAAAAAAATAGCCAGGCGTGGTGGCACATGCCTGTAATCCCAGCTACTTGGGAGGCGAAAGCAAGAGGATCGTTTGAACACCACAGGTGGAGGTTGTAGTAAGCTGAGATTGCACCACTGCACACCAGCCTGGGCAACAGAGCGAGACTCCGTTTAAAAAAAAAAAAAAGTAGGAGCCAGGTGTGATCTGTGGTCCCAGCAACTTGGGAGGCTGAGGTGGGAGGATCGATTGAGCCCAGTAGGTTGAGGCTGTAGTAAACCGTGATTGTACCACTGCACTTCAGCATGGGCGACAGAGCAAGACCCTGTCTCAAATAAACAAACAAGTAAATACATACATACATACGTACTGTATTTCTCGCCTTTCCCTTTGGTAAAATGTTTGTCTTCTCCCTAGGGAGAAGGGGCTACTGGAGAAGCCGATGCTTCCTATGGTAATGACCAGGGATTGCTGTCTTCTTGGAACAAAAGTCACTCACCTGCCGGGCGTGGTAGCTCATGCCTGTATTCCCAGTTAATGCCTGTAATCCCTTGGGAGGCCGAGGCAGGCGGATCATGAGGTCAGACGTTCAAGACCAGTCTGGCCAACATGGCAAAACCCCATCTCTACTAAAAATACAAAAATTAGCTGGGCGTGGTGGTGGGCGCCTGTAATCCCAGCTCCTTGGGATGCTGAGTCAGGAGAATCGCTTGAACCTGGGAGGCAGAGGTTGCAGTGAGCCAAGATCGCGCCACTCCGCAGCACTCCAGCCTGGGCAACAGAGCGAGACTTGGCCTCAAAAAAAAAAAAAAAAAAAAAAAGTCACTCACCTACAAATATCCTGAAGTTGAGTAATATTTAAAAATTTAAGGCCGGACCCGGTGGCTCACGTCTGTAATTCCTCCACCTTGGGAGGCCAAGTTGGGCGGATCACCTGAGGTCAGGATTTTGAGACCAGCCTGGCCAACACGGTGAAACCCCATCTCTACTAAAAATACAAAAATTAGCTGGGCATCGTGGCAGGCGCCTGTAATCCCAGCTACTCGGGAAGCTGAGGCTGGAGAATCGCTTGAACCCGGGAAGCGAAAAAGAAATTTAAGACAAAATAAAGTCAAGATCACAGGAAAACCAAAGATATTTATATAAATGTGTGGCTATAAAAAGGTCAAAAGGCCAGGCGTGATGGCGCTCGCCTGTGGTCCCAGCGACTCAGGAGGCTGAGGTGGGAGGATCATTTGGGCCAGAAGCAGAGAGCCGTGATCACGCCACTGCACTCCAGCCTGGCTGACACGGCGAGAATGCGTCTCCAAAAAAAAAACAACCACGGTTCTGTATGGTGGAAATTAGTACCGCCTTTTCCTGGGACGTAGGTTCTCCTCCGAGCCACGAGAGGGCAGCAACGCGCGCACTCTGAGAAACAGCTCCTTCCTCCGGACTCGTCCGCCTATGCTCGATGGTTCCTCCCAGAATCCTCCAGGGCGCCAGAGGGGGCGGAGAATTTAAAAGTGGGGAGGCGGACTTCCGCTGCTTTAGGGAGGGAGAGCGGCTTGGGTTCTGCGTGGTGTGTGTGGACTTTCCGTGTCGTGTGCGAGGCGCGTGTGAGCCTTGTGTGAGTGGACGCGCGAGTGTGTGAACGTGCGCGCGTGGAGCGTGTTAGGTGAGTGTGTGCGCCCGCCCCTGAACCCTTCCCTCCGCCTACACCTTGATCTTATTTGATCGGGTCGTGACCCCAGCCCCGCCGGGCCGACCCGAAATGAAAAGCTCCCCTCCTGCGAAGCCCCTTCTCGGGGCGCTGTGCAGCGAGGCCCCTAGGCGGCGGCAACGCTGCGGTCCCCGGGGTCCCGGAATTGGCTCTGCGGGGCCCGGTGCTCAGAAGTGATGAATTGATCAGATAGACGAGGCCGGGCTTGTCCCGGGCCACTGATTATCGAGGCGATTCTGATCTGGGCACGGCCACCGGGCTGCCTGCGGCGTAGGGGCGAGCATGTGAACGACTGATTAGGGCGGGGCGCCGAGCATGGTGGCCCAGGAGCTGCAAAATCTCTTGGAGGCGTTGTTCGCCGCTGATTTACTTTCCTCCCACCTTCCCCTTTCTCCCTCCCTCCCTCCCTTGCTCCCTTCCTTCTTGCTCTGCGCTACCACGTTCGGCTAGTTTTTGTATTTTTTGGTAGAGACAGGGTTTTACCATGTTTCCCAGGCTGGTCTCAAAATCCTAACCTCAGGTGATCCGCCCACTTCGGCCTCTTCTAACCTCAAGTGATAGCCCACTTCGACCTCCCAAAGCACTGGAATTAAAGGCAACTACTGTGCCCGACCCCTTTTTTAATCTGTCTTTTTCTTTTCTCTATCTTTCCTTCCTTCCTTTCATTTTCTTTCTTTGTCTCTCTCTATCCTCTTTTTTTTTT